TCATGAACAGCAGACGGAGAGGCTTGAGTTTTGAAAGCGAAGAAAGTTTTCAAGCTGCACGAGACGTCTGTGCAAATTTTAATGAGAGCATTTCCACTTAAGGTCACTCATTATTTTTTGAAATTGTTGAAGTCTATCTTCAAACCTAATCCTTAAACGTTTTCGTATCGCGAGCTTTCCTTTGCCAACAAAAAAAAGCCATTTTTTTAGATTTCGGTAGATTTATGGAAGCTATGTCTCTAAACAAATAGAAAACGATGAAAATGTAAATCGTTGATTCCATATGCCAGCATTATTTTCTTTTTAAAAATGATTTCTCGTGTTGGTTAAGGGTGGTGAAGATCAACTTCTCTACAATGTAAGAACTTCAAATTCTCCTCTTCCAAACTTTGATGAATTATATTGAATGTTATTGATAGGAGAGCATAAACATAACTAGAAGCTATCGCCGTTGCGAGTTACCTTGTGACTAATTTTTAATTTTCTTCGGAATGGGATACCGCAAAAATTTTCCAAAATATATTTTTTGTGAAATGCCTATTTTGATAAATCATCGATGGAAGGTGAACACATGTACAGGGTTCGGATTTAGGTTGACGACAAAGCGTTAACCTATATCTTACCGACATGCTAATTATTAAACCGAGTGCGGCGACAGCTTTAGACCAGTGAAATCGATTTAATAGACAAATGAAAGAAGATACAACCATAAATGAATCTCAGAATATATGAATCCCAGTTTGCAACTCACCTTTACCAAACGTTAAGTAAGTCATAAATGGAATGTAGGATACAATCATGAAAAGCGCAGAAAAGTCCATGCTTACTCCAAGACAACGGTCTTTTATTAGGCGGTTTAATTCAACCTGTTTTAATGAAAAGTGGTATTTTATGAAGCTAAAGTCAACAAAGTTGGCAGTTGTCATTTCTCGCCTGATAAGGGTATTGAGGTAAATAAAATAACGAATACAATCATAAATTTTGCGACTTAGAACCTCTTTGACGATTTTGTTTCGCTCGATAGAAAGATTCAGGACTGAGGGAATGCCATTTGTTTTTAGCAGATATATATGATGTCGCAATTTTTACTGCGAGTTACGCCGTAAACACATCCTCTGGAAAGTCAAATAAATGACAGGTGAAAATATTCAACCCCCAGCAGGGTAAGCAGACACCTGGCCTGTAGCTCATTTAAATATTTCTTCATCACATTCAAAATTCATAGGATTAATAAATATATTCAGAGTATTTTTCTTTTTTTCTCTTACAGAAAGATAAAATATCTTTCTTGAACGGTCGTTTTATTAATATAAAACGTCCGGTAACTTTGCTCATGCAATAAACATATCTTCTAATTACGAGTCTATTTTAGTGGACGTGTAATTGACAGATGATTACATGTTCCTGTGGAAGTCCATAGTTTTGATTAAGGCAGTTTAGGATTTATCAAATCTCCCTCCTCTAGACGTTTCTGAGAATTGATCATCAGCTCCAATTGGCTGTATAGACAGAACTTACCGAGACTCTCCTCGAAACAGGCCGTGTCCCTAAAAAACTGAAAATTCCCTGAATCCACTAGGCAACGAATGACTGCCTTTGCATGTTGTGTCAATAATACAAGATGGATTAAAAAAGGGAAAGCTTTGAAAAGTGTTGTTAGAAGTGTCATTTGTGTCATAGCATCTACAGCTGTATGCTGATTTTTTGCACCGTTTTATCAGAATAGCATTTCTCCTAAATCCTTTGCATTATTTTTGTAATATTGGTCACGAGAATTTGATGCACATCAAGCTTCTGTTTTTTCAAAGTTTGTAGCAATGTCCAACACATAAATCGTTATCCTCTCACGTTTCAGTATTTGGACGGCATTATCCTCTTTTAAAGCAACCAGGATCTGACCAACAATGCCAGCTGATAAGTTTTTGAATTTTTATCGTCCCTCTCCTCAAAAATATATTGTTTGTTGCCATTAACATTGTTGTAAACTGCTCACTTCCCTTTCAGGTTTACGTCATGATCATACTGATGTCCTCTGTTTTGTCAGTGTCGTTAAGCTGATCCTGACAAACAGCGCTTTGAACTAAGGTGCAGGGATGAAGGAGTGATTAAGGTGTGAGAGAAATGGAGACCAAATGGTTGGACTTCATGGCAAACAGTCGGGGCTCAAACTCGGGTAAGGGTCTTTGTATTGAGTTCTTAGGACTTATAGTTCTTCTCTCAACTGGAGGTTACAATACCTTACAATGCCTCTCTCAACTAGCAGTTACAATTCCTTACAATACCTCACTCAACTGGAAGTTAAAACAATACCTCTCTCAGTAGTTCAGAGCCCAAGTTTTCTTTTGTTATCGGCTCAAGACGTATTGCATAGTTGATCTTGATATTTACACGCCAATTATCGTATTAAATGGTTATTGATTAATTTAGAGGAAGGATTTTCTCCTGTTCAAAGACTGCCTAGTTACCCATTCCTCCGTCCGCGCTGTGTTAACATCCTTTTGCAAACTCAGAAAGAAGTGTTTTCTTTTGCTGTTTACTAAAACACATGAGTAATAAAACAATTGTTGAATTCGGTTTTCGTATAATATCATGAGGTATCAAGCTTCAATTCTGTGTTATCTACCTCAGCATTAGGTTTCAGCAGATCACTCAGACTTCACTTCTGATGATTCATGATATCATGCTAAACCTCATCCAATATTTGCTTAATATCTACGCAGTTAACCCATAGAAAAAAAATAACAGAACATACTACAGTCAACATTCGCCCTGATCATGACAGAGAGAGGAGACAGGCAGTTAAAATCAGGGCATGGGTTGAGATATTCCGCTGAAGTTATTTTTAATCTTTAAAGGAAACGGAAGCATTTGTCTTCCACACGTTCGCACCGGAACCCTTCCTAAAGAAAAAGCATTGCCCGTCGTTGTCGTACAATTTTACGTTACCATTAATTATACGTTACCTGAAATTTTCCGTCACTATCGTTTGGACCTGTTGGTTTAACAGACTTCCTTTCAAGATAATTTTTGTTGAGTTAATAGTTTTAGTGACGTAACCATTCCGAAGGTTTAATCAAAGGCCTCCCTCCCCAATGAACTGTGGATGCAATTCACTCAGGAAAAAGTTGCCGTTCGAAATATATAGTGGTGCAAAAAAACCCAATAATTAGGGAATTTTGATCCTTCCCTTTCAGAATCCCAGTTGCGTTTGGTCTCTGTTTGCCTCGTACAAAAGGTGAAATGTTGATTAACCTTACTGATTGGCGTGCTACCCACCCTGCTAAATTTCATCCCGTTTTTAGGAGTATTTCTAATTTCCCTGCATGAGATACCAGTTCCTCTCGGGGTTACTCACAAACAGAATTTACTGGCAGTTTGCTCGTTCATACTTGGTAAAGATTGACAGGTCCGTTGAGAATTTTTTCTCCCCTGATAACAAAACACAATGCCCTGGAGGTGCTAGAATTTAGACCTTTAGACCAGCATTTGATTTATAGCATTTTGAGGTGGCTTTTACTTGTTACTATCGCTCAAGCAGTCGGGTAATGGTTCAGTTTATAGAAGAGCAAAATTGAGTTAACCCTAAGAAATTTCTTTGGAAGGAGGGAGCTCTTTGATTGCCTTCAGTTGATGAATTGATTATTGTTTTTAGTTTAAATGAGCTGGAATTCGTTTCTTTCTCAATAGATTATTTTCCTACTTCCTATGAAATATATATGAAGTTTTGCAAAAGTTCCGAAACAACGTTGGGCAACGCGATCACCGCTACTCAAACATACAGACCATACACCGCAACACATGTTCGTGCCAATCCGTTATTAGAATCGCCCCATCTGAATAAGTCTTCACTGTACAAGATTTGGAATTCTTGGTTCGACTCCACCATCAGCGGTGAAGAAAAGTTATCGAAGAGCAGTTCTGGCGATTCGGTTTTGGCCTAAGGAAAGCTGTAAAACGTTAGTAGGCAGAAGAAGATTACGGTTTTTGTTAGTTATCAAAGTGGCCATTGAGTTAGGAATGAGAGGAGGCCAAAGGCAACCCCACTTGGACTGATAGCTTGGGTCCGCTTCATGACATGACCATGTTGGTATGTTAATTTGAATGTAGTGATGTTACCTGAAATGGCTGTTCTAAAGATCCCATACGAATCATCTTTAGCTCCGAAGCAAACTGTGGACGACGTCATCTGTATCCATCCCATGGCTGGAAAAAAAATATCAGTAGATTTGTGATGGAATTCTTGATTTTTTACACAAAAAAATACGAATGGGATGACAAGTTAGATGGCTAGACGCCTGCTGCCGGGAATAAAAGGAAGACAAACAGACTTACAATGCAGAGAGACAGAGAGGGATAAAAAGGGTCTTTTGGAAGGGGCTTGAATAATCAATAGATAAACAAAATTTGTTTTCATTTAAAGTTTTTCATGGAGTAAAAGCGTTTTTACGTACCATTAATTATCTCACAATTGCTGCCTTCGTATCCTTTTGGGCAAACACATCTATACCCTTTGTCTGTAAATCCAGTCTGACAAGTCCCATCGTGTTGACAAGGAGTTTGTCCACAAGTGTTCTAACAAGTGTGGTAAGAGAGGTTGAGCGCAAAAATATGCAAATGAGAGGAGCAAATGGTTACGATAATTTAAAATTATAGTTGAAATGTAATCTATGATGATTACAGGAAAATGGTCAGCCAATGAACAACCATGTGAATAACTTGAAAAGTGGAAATATACTGTAAAAAAATTATATCAAAAAGGCTAAATCGGTTAAGAATGCACTGACCATTGTTCCTCTGTAGTTCACTGAGAGCCTGAGGTCTTGAGGATGTTTACTGTGTGTGGTATTATTCAGCTCGCACTAAGTGACGGACGGAGAGCCGTTGAAGAGTTCAACGGAGAGCCGTTGGAGAATTTATTAATTAACAGTACAATGGGAAACTAAAGAAAGGAAAGCGTCACTTGCTTAAGAATGCACTGACCATTGTTCCTCCATAGCTGTAGTTTGGCCAGGGCTTGAGATCTTGGGGATGTTCATTGTGTGTGGAATTATTCAGTTCACATTTAGTGATTGACGGAGGGCTGCTAACCACTACCTCGTTGTAGCTGACGCAGTTGGGTTCCATGTAGCATAGAGTGGAGCAGGAGTCTTGCACAAGGGATTCTACGGTTCTTATAATGTGATTTTTGAGCCGTTTACCATGGAAAGCAAGAGATGAGGTAATTCCAGTTTACGACATAGGTCTATGAAAAATTGAAGATAATACGATCAGCACCATTTGAGTTTACGTGAGTTTATAGCTCACAACTTCATATCTTGACGGGGAAAGAAGCAATTTTCTTTTTCAAGGGAAATTAAGATTTGGGCAAAAAACTTGTGCAGTAGTCTGTCTTTAGGAGAAGGTCGTAATAAATGAAAACGAAAATTATTTCGAGAAAGGAAACATTTCTAATGCATTAAATTAGGTCCACTTTTAAGGTTTCACTGATAACCGATCAATAATTCATTATTGGCTATACAACTAGAGACAACTATACAGTACTGAACATGTTTCTATAAATAGGGGCGTTCCCCAAGGTACAGTCCTGGGGCCGGTCATTTTCTATTTTTATTAACGATATTAAAGCTGTTAACACTGATAAGAATCTTCT